GATCAAAAGAGATAATGGGTATGAAACTGCTTCATAAATTGTAAAGCCAGTGAACGAGCGTAAGGGATTAATGTTATTAATGCTAAAATATGCTGCAAAGAACCTCCCACACCAGCTTCTTCCCTGCATTCTGGCCTTATCTGGGTCGGCTTGGAAAGGCTCCCAGCTGAGCTCTGCCAGGAAGCTCCCACCCTTGGGACCTAGCCCTGACCCACAGTTCCTGGGATTGGGAGAGGCAGTGGGGGTCAGGCCCACTCTCAGACCCTCTGGCTCACTCATTCCTGTTCACCTACCCCACCCCGAACAGGTAAATAGTGACAAGGTGTACTGGCAGCGGCAGGACGATGGCAGCTTCAAGATTGTGTATGTGGAGGAGAAGGCCATTGGCACGCTCATCGTTACAAAAGCCATTGGCTCCAACATGCGGGAGGACATCACTCACCTCTACAAGCACCCAGAAGGTACTATTCCCCCAACCCAGCCAGCTCTGGGCCCCATGCTGAGCATTCCTGCTAAGCACTTGGCCACCCTAGTGGGAGCTGTTACAAAAGCCATTGGCTCCAACATGCGGGAGGACATCACTCACCTCTACAAGCACCCAGAAGGTACTATTCCCCCAACTCAGCCAGCTCTGGGCCCCATGCTGAGCATTCCTGCTAAGCACTTGGCCACCCTAGTGGGAGCTGGAACCTCACCCTTGACCCTCAACCCCCAGGCTCAGAAGCAGAGCGGAAGGCAGTGGAGACGGCAACTGCCCATGGCAGCAAACCCAATGTGTATGCCACCCGGGACTCAGCAGAGGACGTGACAATGCAGGTGGAGGCACAGGACGCAGTGATGGGACAGGATCTGACAGTCTCTGTGGTGTTGACCAATCGTGGCAGCAGCCGCCGCACTGTGAAGCTGCACCTCTACCTCTCGGTCACCTTCTACACCGGTGTCACTGGGACCATCTTCAAGGAGACCAAGAAGGAAGTGGTGCTGGCACCAGGGGCCTGTAAGTGCTCCTTACCCAGCCCTTCCTCCTGGGTGACCAGGCACCTGTGGCTGTGGACAGAGACCCCAGGAGCAATAGGGAGCACGCCAGGGGAGGCCTGGTGTGGGAAAGCAGGCCTGAGTGACGCCATGCTTCTTCTCCCTAGCGGACCGCGTGGCCATGCCTGTGGCCTACACAGAATACCGGCCCCACCTCGTGGACCAGGGGGCCATGCTGCTCAATGTCTCAGGCCATGTTAAGGAGAATGGGCAGGTGCTGGCCAAGCAGCATACCTTCCGTCTGCGCACCCCAGACCTCTCCCTCACGGTGAGTGCAGCTTGCTGTGGAGTGAGGGGTGGTCAGGCAATGGTGGCCAGCGGCTGAGGGAATCAGTGGAGGAGAGAGGGCACCAAGCCAGGAGCAGGCTGGCCTGTGAGCCTTTCCAGGAGAAGAAGGCCAAGGACCAGGTCGGGTTCTTGAGCCTCAGTTTCCTCATCTGTAAAATGGGATCCCATATCCCTGATTCTGTGGTAGCCTTAGTTGGGGAGTAGGTTGGAATTTCCTCTCTGATTTGGCGGAGGCTTCTCCAAGGGCAGAGAAGAACTCTCCCTCTTAGGGAGGTTTTGATTCTGAGGCATTTTTCCTCTCTGGTGCAGTGCATGGTCCCCACCTGTTTGGCCAGGGTCTCTGATTCAGGGGTGGGCCTCTTTTTTCTCTCAGTTATTGGGAGCAGCAGTCGTTGGCCAGGAGTGTGAAGTACAGATTGTCTTCAAGAACCCCTTGCCTGTCACCCTCACCAACGTCGTCTTCCGGCTCGAGGGCTCCGGCCTGCAGAGACCCAAGATCCTCAACGTTGGGTGAGTCTGGCCTCTCCTTTTGCCCCTGCCGCTGCCCTGGCCTTCCCCACAGGCTGCCCTGGGTCCCGATTTGCTTCTGCTCAGTCGGGACAGGTGTGTTCTGTAAGCACTAATGAAGCAGCACCGGGCCAGCCAGCAGTTCCTCCTGACTCAGTCCAACCAGCGTTTAAGGAGTCCTGCTGGGTGCCCAGAGCTGTGCTCTGTGTCTGTGCCCTGCCTCACCATCTAATTAGGGAGCTAAAACTTCACATAGGAATCATTGCTAGTATTTGCCCAGCACTAAAGAGTTGACCAGGCACTTTTGGGAATATTTTCTCATTTGGTGATCACCAAAACCCTTTAAAGTACACTAGAGATCACCATATGATTAAAAGCAAAGGTTTGGAACCCTAAAGACAGGTTCAAGTCCCAGCTCCGTCACTCACTGGCTATGTGCCCTTGGGCAAGTGACTTATCTCCTCTAAGCCTCAGTGTTCTCACCTGTGAAGTGAGGACACAGTAGCACCTGGTCCTAGGTTTATTAAGTGCAGTGCTTGGCACAAAGTTGTTTTTACTATTGCCATCATCACCCCCACTTTACAGATGGGGAAGCCTTACAGCTCATGAGGGGCAGACTCTGCTCTTCCCACCGTGGTGCACGCCACGCACTGGCTCTCAAGCCTGTTGCTTGGTTTGCACCAGGAGGGCCAAGTAGCAGTTCCAGAGGAGAGATCCCCATGCCTCAGGCCTCACCCACACACCTGGGCCTGATACTGGCCGGGTGATGCTTGGGGCCCAGTGAGGGGCACAAATAGTGCTTGTATTCCTGGGACTGTGGCTGTCTTCTCTGACACAGACTCACATGTGCTACCCTGTCCCTCCAGCACAGAGGAAAAGCAGAGAAGGCTGGAGGCTAACCATTTAGATCAGCTTTCTGGGGACAGGGGCAGGCGTTTTTTTCCTTCACACATAGGGCTCCTGAGGGAGAGCAATGGCCTGGGGGGTTGCTGTGAAGGGGGTTGCTCCCCCTCACACGCAGCAGCTCTCCTGGTGGTGGCTGCCACTTTTTCCATCAGGCCAAAGCTGAAAAGGCAGCTATCCTGACCTTTGCCCCAGCCTGGTCCCTGGGAATGCTGTGATCTGTCACAAAGAACCGCTTTCCCTTTCCATGTCACCCTATAAGAGCCTCTGGCAGCTCAGAGAGTGCAGCCTGAGGCTCCCAGCTCGCTTACCCTGCCAGTCTTGCTTGCAGGCATGTCTTACCTGCACCTGTCTGTGGTGGAGGGTGTTCCCCAGGTCCTGAGGGATCCCCGGTGCTGGGCTCCCCTCAGCAGCCCCACTAGGCGTTTGACTCTTGCCCTGCCTGGAAGTAAGTAAAGGACCACAGCACCAAGCCTCTGCAGATCTGCCCCTCTCTTCAGCTGTGGGGCTTGTGTGAGTCCCGCCACCAGAAGGACCCAGTCTCCCCACAGTAAATGAGAGAGTTGGATGATGGTTTCTTAAGGCAGGTCCTCCTTGGACGTTCTGTGGCTCCTCAGCTGCTGCAAGCCCAGGCCAGGGCCTCCAGAACAGTTGGGATCCTTGAGGGGATGTCTCTCAGCTGTTGGTTCAGATGTATTAGATTCCAAGGCGGGTGTGCTTTACCTCTTGTTTGCACATTAAAGGCTGCGGTATGAAACCCCATTATACCACAAGGTGTGCCGCCCCAGTGTGGTGACTGGCCACTTAGTAAACATTCCAGAACCTACTCTTCCAGATGACTATTGTCACCACCAAAGTAGTCACCAGGGAGGCTGGAATTCTGTTCCAAACCCCTCTTGGGAATTTCCCCCAGAGCCTGAATCATATTCTCTGGAATGTCCTTAGAGTGGCCAATCTTCCTTTTTGGTGGGGAGTCGGGAGCAGGGGTAGATTTGACTTTGGGAAAAAGCCTGAAGTCGTTTAGAGGTAAGACTAATTAACAAGGTGGGTAGATATGTCCTTTGCAATCAGAAATGAGGCACGCTGTAAAGGAGGCACGGGCTGACTGTGTATGTGTGATGGTACATGCACATGTGTGTGTGGTTTAAATGGCTCTGACGAAAAGTCTAAAAGGAGTTTTTGAAAAAGTTTCAAGCCCTGGCAACATGATTGAACAATTGAAGGATAACTCTCATTTTGATGTCTAAGTTCTGCTTGCCAGGGAGTTGGTGTCATTACCTATACTGAGTTACAGCCAATTCCACCTTTAGCAGCTGACTCGTACTCAGTTTAAACTTGCAAACAGGGGTGTGGCAAAGGCCTCATCTGACACTGAGACTAGGACAGGAAAAAGATCTTGACATTCCCAGCTGGAACCTGGAAAGTAATTTCTCTTGGAAATAATGTTGGTTAGTAATATAAAGGTCAGTTTCTGAAATATTTCGGTTCAATTATAGTATGGGTTAAATAGACTTTTGAAGGCGAGTCTGAGACTAAACAACTTTTAATTTTGCGTCTATGGAAAAGTGGGCAAAAATTAAGAACACAAATTTGTAAGCAGTCAGAACATAGCCTACCTGTTAAGTTACAGACTTCATTTACAGACTTTCTACCGTACTATGTTACATATCCCTACTTCCCTCTTTCATGGAGCTCAGAGGTACCTTCAAGACCATCCGATCCCACCCCCTCATTTTACACTCACTTCCATTTTGTGTACCAGAAAATGATGATCAGGGTAGTTAAGTAACTTGTCCTAAACCACACAGCTAACAGGTGGCAGAAGGAGTAGAGTGGTTGAGGGAAACATCTTGCCCTTGGAGTTGGGGATGATGGTTTATTCCCTTGGAGGACTGCCCAGGGTCTGACTCCAAAGAGGGATTCCATGGCAGGCTTGGGTTGAATAGGGGGCTAGAGGTAAGGATTTAGGCTGAGGCAGGAAGGACAAATTTTAATAGGAGTAAGCAGATGCAATATAAATGTAGTTGTGTTCAGTATATAAAACACAAGGTACAGATTGCTAGAGGAGCTCAGAGAAGGGCAAGATTCATTTTTCTAGGGGCAGGGGAGCTGTCACTGAGGACGTGTTGTGAGCCAGGCCTTGGAGGAAGAGTAGGCCTTCACAAGGCCACCCAGGGTGGGGAGGTAGTGCTGGGAGCTCATTCTGTGCAAGGCAAAGACTGCAAAGCATGACAGTGGAGGTGAGTTCAGGGAAGGTGAGGGCGTTCAGTGGGGCTGGTGGGCAGGAGGAATGGTGGGGGATGATGGGGCTGTGCAGGTAGCAGGGGTTGAGTCAGAGTGAGCCTGTGTGGCAGGTTAGGGAGGTGGGATCTCATCCCATAAGCACAAGGAAGCCAAGCCCTTGAAGGCTTTTGTCACCTCTGAGTGGTTAGCAGAATAGATGAAGAAGCAAGACGGGAGGTAAAGGAGGCCAATTGGAAGATCGGTGCAACCGTGATTCCCAGATGGGTGGTCTGGGAGTCAACCTTCAGAGGCCTATGAAGCAGGGATAAAAGGAAGACACTGCAGTGTGTGCGTGTGTTTATGCACACGCCTCTTTCCCTCTCCCCCCACCCCACACACATGAGGGGACATGTCAGTTTGAAGATGCCAATTGTTTGTTCTTGGGAAGGACTTTCCTTTTTTTCTGAGATAACATTCTTCTAATGTTTGCTCACTCTTCTTTGAAAAATCATTGTAGCAGAGAATAATTTTCTTCAGCTTACTTTCTTGGCAAAACTGAAAGTATTTGGAAATACTGTGTTAGGCCCCAAAGTCTTATATAAAGGTTTTCGGGTTTTGGAAACCCCAGGTGAGATGGAGATGGTCTGGTCAAGGCAGGAGCAGTGGCGATGGAGAACAGCGGGGAGGCCTCTGGGCTGGCGTCATCAGTCTTTGTCCAGGTGGATGTGGGAGCGGGGAGGGAGGAGCTGGATGACTGGGAGATTTCCAGCTCAGGCAGCTGGATGGCTGGCTGCTGATCTGGCTGTGTGAGGCAGCCCTGAGGCTCAGGCTTTGTCCTGGCCTTGGGTGTGGAGATTCTAACTGAGCCAAAAAATGCCTTAATGGCTTCACCTCCTGCTCCTTCCTTCTTGGCTGCCCTGGATCAGCCCTCACTCCCCACTCCACCCCCAGTTACTCTAGACCCATGACCTTGTCTTTGCCCACAGGGACATCGGGGGCAATGAGACAGTGACACTGCGCCAGACATTTGTGCCTGTGCGACCAGGTCCCCGCCAGCTCATTGCCAGCTTGGACAGCCCACAGCTGTCCCAGGTACACGGTGTCATCCAGGTGGACGTGGCCCCGGCCTCTGGGAGCAGAGGCGGCTTCTCAGATACTGGAGGCGACAGTCACTCGGGAGAGACCATCTCTATGGCATCGCGAGGTGGAGCTTAACCCTGTGCCAGGAGCAATGGGACTGGATTCAGATGAGGAAGGACACTGCCCCATGGTGGGGGCCCACCACAGAGCAGCTCCCCAAGAGCTCAGGTGGGAAGGCCGGGGCACCTCGGGCGGGAGCCATTCTTCGCTTGCACTGGGCGGCAGATGCAAATAAATTGTTTTTTAATGAAGCTACTGTTCTGTCCATCTGTAGTCCATGCTGGGCCAAGGAGCGTGGGGCCCTGGTTTGTCTGGGGATGCACATGGCATTTCTGGTGCCCTGACTCTGAAAAACATAGCTGGCAGGTCAGCGATGGTGCCAGCTCAGCAGCTCTTGAGATGGGGCCTGCTTAGTGTCAGGGCAGCCTCCAGTTTTCACCTGCCCCTGGGTGGTGTTGCTGCTGATCGAAGCCCTTTTGAAGCCCCCTAGGGTGGGGTAGGACTGCCCCTCCCCATAACATCCACTGTGGGAGAGAAGGACCTAAATTCCCTTTTGTAGACACATGTTTGAGGTAGAAATAGTCTGGAGTACTCTCTGAGCAGCGGAATCCCCTTCCAACATTTATTTTGCCTAAGAATGTCCTTGTCTAAGAATTTTTACAAATGTAATACATGTTCAGTGTTGAAAAGTAAGAAAATATAGAAAATCATAAAGAAGAAAATAATAATCCTCAACTGCTGTTGAGAAAACACCTGTTAACATTGTGTTTCATATGCTGCATTTCCTCCACATATCCTGTGGTGAACATTTTCCCACAGTATTAAATATTCTTTGAAAACATCATCTAAAAACATTTTTTCTGTGTCTGGCTGGTGTGAGGATCTGAACCCTTGACCTTGGTGTTATAACACCGGGCTCTAACCAACTGAGCCACCCAGCGAGCTTAGAAATGTCACTTCTAGAGACTGGACAGCAGTCTTGGCTCCCAGGCTGCCCTCCGGGACCTCCTGAGTCTCAGTGGCTGCCTTTCGCATTCTCCTCGGCTGGCATCTCCTCCGCTCAGTGTTGGGCTCCTGGGGTGACTCAGAGCTCCACCCCAGGCACTCCCTCTTATCCAGCTACACTCTGCCTAGGAGATCGCAGCCAGGCTCATGGTTTTAAGGGCCACTGACTCCCAGAATTGGATCTTCAGCACTGCTGTTTTATTTGAGTATCTACTTGTATATCTGCTCTTCTCAACATCTCTCGATGTCTAATAGACACTCCAAGTGTCACATGCCCAAAATTAAACTCCTGGCCTCCCTCCTGCATGTCCTCCTGAAGCCATCCCCATCTCAGTAAATGGCAACTCCATCTTTCCAAGTTTCTTGGGCTCAAAACCTTGGAGTCATCCTTGATTCCTTTCCTTCTCTCACACCCCACATCCAATCTGTCAGCACAGCTTGGTGGTCCTATCTTCCATCCCTGTGTCCAGAATCTGACTGGTCCATCTGCTCTGCAGCCACCACCCTGCCAGAGCCACCTTTATCTCTCCCCTGTGTTTTACACCAGTTTTCTATTATTCTTCTGCTTCCACACGTGCCCTTCATACTCTGCTCATCACGCAGCAGCCAGAAGGAGCAGGTGAATCTGATCGTGTCAGTCCTTTGTTCTAAACCTTCTACTAGCTTTGCCCAAAGCCAGAGTCCTTATGAGAATCTGTTACTCTGACCTCACTCCCATTTCTCCCCCGAGTTCAGTCCGTTCCAGGCCCTGGCCCCTTGGCTTTCCTGCACAGTGCCAGGCTTGCCCCTGCTTCCAGGCCTCTGCACGGCTGCGTCCTCTGCCTGAGTTCTTCCCCACACATCTCTATGACTTGCTCCCTCTTCTCCTTTAATTCTCGCTTGTGTCACTGTCTCGATAAGGTCTTCCCTTCCATCCTATTTTAAAATTGCAACTCCCTCTTCACTCCCCATCTCACTTCGTGCTTTATTTTTCTCCATCGCTCACATTACCATCCAACATTATATATATTTACTTTTTTGTACTATTGGTTTAACAAATTCTCTCTCCTTGTCCTGCCCCATCATTGTCCAACCCTCCATCCTCCCTCACTTGGACTGAAGCACCAACGCTTTCAATAGCCTTGCCCATCCTGTCTATACCCAGCTTGGCAGCCCAAGGGATCTTTTTAAATGTCAGTCAGGTCATGTCATTGATCTGCTCACCCCCGCTCCCCAGTCACCCAGTGGCTCCTCACTTCGTGCAGAATAGCAGCCATGGTCTTCCCTGCGGCCTTTGGGGCCCTGCAGGGGTGGCCCCATGCCTCTGATCTCCTCCCCTACCTCTTGTCACTCTACTCTGCTCCATCTTTCTTGGTGTTTCTTGAACACTCCAGGCCCACTCTCACCTCAGGGCCTTCATACTTGCTGTTTCCCTGACTGGCACACTCTTCGCCCAGATACCCACATGGCAAGCACCCTACGCTCCTTTGAGGTCTTTCCTCAAATATCACTATCTTAGTGAGGCCTTTTCTGGCCTCCTATTTGAAATTGCAACCCACTCCCCTTCTCACTACTACTTTTCCCTGCTTTTTTTTTCTCCAATGCATTTATCCCCAACCAACATACTAAATATTTTAACTATACTTTTGTTTACTGTGTCTCCCTTCCCAAACTAAAACATAAACTCCACAGAATCTGTGATTTTTGTCTGATTTGCTCTGTTATATCCTTGAAAATTAATGCATAGAAATGCTTGCTAAATACTCGCTGAGTAAATAAGAAATGTAGGCACTGATCTATACATAATAATTCGTGTAATCTTTATAATAACCTCATAAAATAGGCTGTATTATTATGTCCCCTCTACAGATAAAAATTGTACAGAACTAAGGCAAGGGAGTTAGGTAATTTGTCCAAAATCTAGACAATTATAGCAGTCTAGAATTGGATTGGAACTCTGGTAGTTTGGTTCCACAGCCTATAATCTATCTCAAAATGAAAGTGGTTCCCATGGAGCTCTTATTTCTACCCCAAACTATTCTTCTCCTAGTTTTTCCCATCTCAATGTTACTATAATGACACAGTTGCTCAAGCCGAAAATCTACAAGTTCACCCTTCATTCCTCCATTTTCTCCCCTCTAATATTCAATCAATCAGCAAGTCTTATCAACTCTACCTCCAAAATAGATCAGAATTTTTATTCTCTCCAGTTACAGTCACCGTGCTCTGTCCCTACAGAACTTCCATAAGAGTGGTGGGTTTCCACTCTTCTTCGTGAATATTAACCAATTTCTACACAGCTAGTGGTTTTCCTAAAGTATACATTAAACCCTGGTACTCTCATACTTAAAACCTTCCAATGCCTTCTCATCACCCTTGGCATAATCCAAAGTCATACCCTGACCTACTGGGCTCCTGCAGACCTCTGCAACTTCATCTGCACCATGTGCTCCTGGTACTCTTTGCTCCAGCCACCTGGTCCTTCTACTCAAATTCTACGACCTTGGACCTAAGGCTCGGCCCCACGCTGTTCCTTCTGGAGGAACTCCTCCCCGGGTCACCATGTGCTCCTGGTACTCTTTGCTCCAGCCACCTGGTCCTTCTACTCAAATTCCACGACCTTGGACCTAAGGCTCGGCCCCACGCTGTTCCTTCTGGAGGAACTCCTCCCCGGGTCTGTGGCCAACCCCCTCCTGTTATTCAGGTCTTAGTTCAAACATCACTTCCTCAGGGAGGTCTCCCCTGACCATCCAATCTGATTAGCTTTCCTCCCTCCCAATCTCTTTAGAGACTTTATTTTGTGTCCTAGAAATACACACACACACACACACACACATACACACACACACACACACACACACGGTATATGGGGATGAACTCTTGACCTTGGTGTTATCAACACTGTGCTCTAACCAACTGAGCTAACAGATCAGCCCACATGTCCTACATATTTTGTGTCCTGCGTAGTACTTACTGTTTAACATCAGTGTTTATTCATTTGATTCTGTCTCTTTTCTCTAAAATGTGAGCTAAGACCTTATCTGTCTAGTTCACAACCATATCCCAGCATCTAGAACAAGGCTAGCATTAGGTGCACAATATTTGTTACAGTAGGCCTCCCTTACTTGCAGGAGATACATTCCAAGATTCCTAATGGATGCTTAAAACCATGGATAGTACCAAACTCTATATATACTGTTTTTCCCTACACACACATACCTATGACAAAGTTTAATTTATAAATTAGGCACAGTAAGAGATTAACAATAATAACTAACAATAAACAATATATTGTAATAAAAGATATGTGAATGTGGTTTCTCTCTAAAGTTCTTTCTCAAATTTTCTTTTTGTGTGGCTGGTCAGTGCAAGGATCCAAACCTATGACCTTGGTATTATAAGGTTGCATTCTAACCAACTGAGCTAACTGGCCAGCCCCATTCAATATTTCTAGACTGCACTGACCATGAGAAACTGAAACCATGTACAGCAAAACTGCAGATATGGCGGGACTACTGTACTTACAAATTTAAAAGCAACATTTTACAAGGTGTGACTTATAATTGTTATGGAGCAACCTCTAGTGGTTGCACTTTATTTTCAAAAACAAATGAACAAATTCTGTTTCAGAGATGTGACATGATTTATTTGACTAATCCCTCATTCCTGGTATTTTAATGTATCACTATTACAAATAGTAATGTTCTCATTGTTTTGCTATTACAAGTAGAGCTGTGTGTACTGGCCAGCTGCAAAAAATAAAATAAAAAATAGAGCCGTAATAAACGTTTTTGTAAAAGCACATAAAGCTTTGTGCTAATCGTATGGTAGACCTATCTGTACTTGTTTGAGAAACCTCCATACTGTTTTCCATAATGGCTGTATTAATGTACAGTCCCACCAACAGTGTAGGAGTGTTCCTTTCTCTCCACATCTTCACCAGCATTTGTTGTTCTCCGTCTTTTTGATTATAGCCAGTCTAACAGGGGTGAGGTGGTATCTCAATGTGGTTTTAATTTGCATTTCCCTGTTGATTAGTGACGTTGAGCATTTTTTTAAGTGCCTGTTGGTCATTTATATGTCTTCCTTAGAAAAATGTCTATTCAGGGCCGGCCCGTGGCTCACTCGGGAGAGTGCGGTGCTGATAACACCAAGGCCACGGGTTCGGATCCCATATAGGGATGGCCGGTTAGCTCACTGGGTGAGCGTGGTGCTGACAACACCAAGTCAAGGGTTAAGATCCCCTTACCGGTCATCTTTAAAAAAA